AAGCCTGAACTACCCCTAAACATGTGACCTATTTTTTTTTTGTACTTAATCCTGTCAAAAACCACATCAGCTCATCGTCTATATCTTAGAATGAGAACCTGGACCAGAGCTCAAGCCCAGGTCCTGTAGCTGAGAGGTGGTCGCACTAGGCTGGGCCCCACCCCACCGTCCCTCTCCATTCCAATGCCATTGGCTTCCCCCAGGGCAGTCATTTTCATGGATGCATGCATGTGAGGACCCAAAAGCGAGGGCTGGGACTGCTTCCTCCTGAGACGCTTGGCTGCAGACACTCCCTCGCACGTTCCCGAAGTTACCAGGAGCGGTGGGAGTGAAAAACCTGGGGTGCTTAGAAGCATCCCGAGGACTTGGCAAGCGTCTGATGCTAAAAAGCATTCCTTGCCTGCAAAATGTGTGTCCCCCGGGAACTCTCGAGTTGCCGCGACGTGAAGCTGAGGCGGAGCTGGGCGGTCTCTCCTGCCCTGGCCCTCTCCCAGCAGGGCCCGCGGTGGAGCTGTCTTCCCCAAGGCAGCAGCTGTCAGAGGAACCATCTGCTCTGGTTTCTTCTGACTGACTCCAAGGAACAGAAATCCTCCCGCAGCCCCATCCCAGGAGGAAATCGTAACCGTGGCAATCGCAACAAGAAGCCGCTGGGATGCTCTCTGGCTGTGAGCCACGCGGAGGCCTGCTCAGAATGACCCTGGGGAGCGCCAGACAGGCGGCGGGTTGTGGAGAGAGTAGAGAGGGGTGGATGGAGGGAGCTGAAAGGTGGCCAGGCTGTGTGCGACGGCTTGAGCACCAGCATGCCCAGGGGCAGCCAAACTGGTGGGCCCTGCCAGCCTGGACTCTGCCCCCATGAAGCCCCCTCGCCTCTTTGGCGCTGCTGTCACTCACGTCACGAATGCATCTCCTGTGCAGGCTCCGGAAGGGGGCTGTGTGCCCAGCTGGCTCGTTCCTTGCACGTGGGCATTGTCTGAGTCTCTCCTGAGTCTGTCTGTCTGTCTGTCTCTCTCTCTCTCTCAGCTGACAGCTACAGTCTGTGCTCTTTCCTTGCAGCAAGGCCACAGTGCCTTGTTGCTTAGGGTGCCCAGGACAGGTCATTAAGAAGTGATGCACAGTATCAGATACCAAGTCTCATGATCAGAATTTCATTCTCAAGGCCAGCATCCCATGTGAGCCCCAGTTCAAGTCCCGGCTGCTCCACCTCCAATCCAGCTCCCTGCTAATGCACCTGGAAAAGCAGTAGAAGATGGCCCAAGTGCTTGGGCTTCTGCCACTCAGATGGAGTCCCAGGCTTCTGGCTTCAGCATGGCCCAACCCCATTGTGGCTATTTGAGGAGTGAACCAGTGAATGGCCTCTCTCCTCTCTCCTCTCTCCTCTCTCTGCCACTCTTCTTGTCAAATAAATCTCTTTTTTAAAAAAAGGAATTTCATTCTCAGATATTCCCTTTTGGCGCACACACATGCACACACGCACACACACACACAGAAAGGCAAAGGGGAAAATGGCTGACTTCATTTCCTGTTGAAGTTGCACCCGATGCCAAGTAATAATTCATCACCCTCCCTGATTGTCCTCGCTTCCCTTTGCAGCCAAGCACAACCAGTGCGTCCACCCTCCCTGGGAAGGCAGCTCCTCCCGTCTTCTTGCCAAGATCAGATCCCAAGCCCACGGAGGGAGGCCAGAGAGATCCAAAAGCAAGGCCCCCAGGTCTCCATGTCCCAGCCCTCTCTCCAGTCAGGGAGGGAGGAAGAGGAGATGAGAGAGAGGGCCCACCTCCTCCCCCCGCCACGTGGTTTTGCCTTCTGCAGTTTCAGTTACCCAGGGTCAGCCGCAGTCTGAAGATACTAAATTGAAAATCCCGAAGATAAGCAGTTTGTAAGTTTTAAATGGCACAGTGTTCTGAGTCGCATGGTGAAGTCTCCCGCCGCCCTGTCCCAGGCCGTGTGGGCAGGAAGGGTGCCTATCTGTGTCCAGCTGGTTCACGTGGGATCCACTGCCTGGATTCTCGCCCTGGCATCCCTTAGTAGCGCCCTGATGGGCTGTCCCGTGCATCACAGGGCTTGCATTCATGTCACCCATATTTTACCCCATAGCGGCCCCAAAACACAAAAGGGGTCAGCAGGGATGCAGGCAGCGTTGCTAGCATTGTGTGTTGTTAGCATTGTCCTATTTTATTAATACTTACTGTGATATTTTCCTGTGCTCAATTTGTAATGAAACTTCATCACAGGTATGGATGTATAGGAAAACCACGTACGTTAAATCCCAGCACCGTCCCTGGTTCCATGCATCCACGAGGTCTTAGAATGCACCCCCATGGATAAGGCGCCCCTAATCTGGACAGCCAGCCCCTGTCTGTGTCAGCCCCCTGCACATTTCCCTCACTCAGTCCTTGTACATCCCAGGGAGCAAATATGACCACTCGCCTCCCTGCACAGCTGACGTCTCCAGGACGCAAGGGCTGAGATCTCACAGAGAGGCAGGAGCGGAGTAGGAACGTAGCCAGGCCCCTGGAACGGCAGCTGCAGCTCCCATCCGCCTCACCGTGCCCCAGTTCTCGTAGGCAGAGCCTTGGTGTTAATCCCCTCCTTCATCTCGTGCCTCTCTGGCTCCCCTCTGTCCTGAACCCAGCTACACCCATGCAAGCATTGCATTGTCCAAGGCTGGGCCAGACTAAAGCCAGGAGCTTTGTCCAGGTCTCTCCCACATGGGTGGCAGGGGCCCGAGCATCTGGGCCATCCTCCACTGCTTTCCCAGGCCATTAGCAGGGAGCTGGATCACAAGTGGAGCAGCCAGGACTCGAACCGGCACCCATATGGGATGCTGGCACTGCAGGCCGTGGCTTTACCGGCTATGCTTCTGCCTTTCAAAGAAAGATACCCACACACAGAGAGCAAAGATGGAAGAAAGAGTGGAGAGGAGGGGAAGGAAGGGGAGGGAGTGGAGGGGAGCAAGGGAGAAAGTTCTCCTTCTCTGTGGTTTGCAGACCTCACTATCCCCTAGAGGCAGAAGGAGGTCGGAGGTATGAGAGGTCACAGGTGAAGTCTGTCAGCTCCCACAGAGCTGGGGTCTTCCTGTCTCACTGGTAGCTTGGGTCTGAGGGCTTAGGTGGGTGTGGCACCTGGGGCAGTCCCAGCCGGAGCCGAGAGTAAGGAGAAAGGACTTCCCCAGGCGGTGGGAGGCCTTGGGGCACTGAGGGCAGCTGTGTCGCTCCCTGCCGTCCGGGTCCAACCTGAGCTGGGCTGGCTGGAGGTTTGTTGTCCCCCTGCATCTGGAACAGGCCGCTGATGTCCAGGGAGGGGTGGAGCAGGCCTCCGAGTGCTATCGGCCAGCCCCCCTCCCCTTGCCGTGTCCTATCAGCCCGCCCGGTTTCGTTAGCACCTCGGCCGTGACGTCTTCCTGGAGCTCAGCCTCAACAGGGGCTCAGTACCTGGCTCCAGTGCAGAGAACCCCGCAAGGCACAGCACCCTAGGTGCAGGGAGCCGCTCCTTTCTGAAGGAGGCAGGGGAAGCAGGACTGAGAGGACCAGGCTGGCTGGGCAGCGAGCGGGGGCTGGAGACATCGGAGGAGCAGGTGCAGGCGGCCAGGACCACGGCTGACTCCTCACTTCCCAGGCACAGTCTGCCCAGCCAGCGTCTGGCATGACACAGAGGTGGGGGCAGGACAGAGAACTCCAGGAAGAGAAACCCTGGAAGGACCAGGAGGCCCATGGACTCCAAGGCCCAGGACACCAGTTGGCAAAGATGTGGGGGTGTGGCCCCTGGCCCTGCCTCAGCCGCCAGCCCACACTGGGCCTCTCCCTGGTTGGGCTGAGCTGGGGGGCCTCACCCCGCTGGGGCCCCCGCCTGGGATCTGCTTGGCTTGCGTGGGCTTCTTCACTGGGGGCGGGGGAGGGCGCAGGCTGGCCCTGCGGTGGCTGCGAGCTGGGGAAGAGGACCTGCTGGGCTCTGGCGCTGGACAGGCCCCTCAGTGCACAGCTGAGAAGTGCAGGCGCCTGCAGAGGGAAGGTGTCAGAGCATGGCCACACAGCTGGGGACGGGCTCGGGTCTGCCGGTTCGTGAGCCAAGAGATGGACTTGGCCAGATTCCAGCCCCACACCCGCAGCCTTCCTTGGCTGTGCACGCGGTGAAGCGAGGCTGGAGCCCTCGTCTGCACGGCACACGGTGTGTGGCATGGTTGTCTGCATGCTTCCAGCAGTGAGCAGAGTGACGCCCTCGGCCTCGCCCCGGCCCTGCCACAACAGACGGTTGTTCCCCGAGACATGCAGGAGGCGGCGCCTGCCGGCACTGCTGCTGGCTCCTGACCGTGTGCACTTCTCAGAGTTGCGTGGAGAGCCTGGGAGAGCGCCAATGCCCGGGTCCCACTTCCTGGCCGCTGCATCAGAATCCACAGGGCTGAGCCCTGGAAACCCAGTCTCTCAAAATCTCCCTTCTCAGGGAACTTTTTTTTTTAAAGATTTATTTATTTATTTGAAAATCAGAGTGAGAGAGAGAGAGAGAGATCATCCACCTGTTCACTTCCCAAATGCATGCCATGGTCAGGGCTGGACCAGACTAAAGCCAGGAGCCAGGGGCTACCTCCAGGTCTCCCACATGGGTAGCAGGGGACCAAGTACTCAGGCTGTTGTCCGTTGCTTTTCCAGACCATTAGCAGAGAGCTGGATTGGAAGTGGAGCAGCCAGGACACGAACCAGCGCCCATATGGGATGCTGACGCTGCAGGCTGTGGCTTTAACCTGCGGTGCCATAGTGCCAGCTCCTCTCGGGGGACTTTGGAATCTCCGGTCCAGGGACACCCCACAATCCTAGACACTCACTCTGATGCTTCCCTGATGGACCTCCTCCCCATGGTGCATTGACGAGGTGAGGGTCACTGGCAGGAAGTGGTGTCTCTGTGACGTCAGGCCAGGATCCTCCTCGGCTGTCCGCCACAGCTGAGCAGCTCGGTCCGAGCAAGGGGCAGGCGTGCGCCTCACTCTCTTGCCTTCTCTTCCCCTGCAGGACACACAGGACCAGCCACTGCTACCGCATCACGTACCGCCACATGGAGCGGACCCTGTCCCAGAAGGAGGTCAGGCACGTGCACCAGGCCGTGCAGGAGGCGGCGGTTCGGCTGCTGGGCGTGGAGGGCCGCTTCTGACGCCGCTGCTCACCCCGGCTCCGGGCCCGGCATGCGCTCCGCGCGGAAGAGGGCGCCGTTCACGAGCTGCGACGTGCGTGGTCTCTGGATAAATGGGGTCAGTTTTAGGATGTGGAGAAAATGAAGGCTCACCCCTGGGAACCTATTGACATGGCTTCTGTCTTTTGTTTGGGGCGAGGGGGCGGGGAGAGCAGTCATCTCCAAGTTCTGGCTCGCTCCTTCTGCAAACACGTTGCCCCTTGGCACTCAGAGTGGCTAATTGGTCCCCAGGTCCCACTGAGCACCAGGCACGACTTCCTGCCTGACGGGCCCTTCTTCCCCCGTGTCATGAGTGGAGCCACACAGCGGGGCGTCAGAAGCTGCCCCTGCACAGACGTGACACAGGCGCACCTCGCCGTGTCACACCTGCATCGCGCCGTATCCACAGTGCCTCACAGACACCGCGTTTCCACAGGCTGACGGCTCGTGGCAGCCCAGCGCCAAGCACCGCCATCAGCGCCATTCTTCCCAGGAGCTGGGGTGCTCATTAGCAGTGTGAGCGATAAAGGTTTTCTTTTCCTTTTTATTAATTAATTCGTCTTAGAGGCAGAGAGACTGATCAAGAGTCCCATGTACCGGTTCATACCCCAGATGCCTGCAACAGCCGGAACCGGGCCAGGCTGGGGCCGGAAGCTGGAAACAGTGCAGATCTCTCCCAGGGCCGGAGGAATCCAGCCACCTGAGCCTTCGGTGCTGCCTCCCAGGGTCTGCATTTGCAGGAAGCCGGAGCCAGACGTTGAACCCAAGTACTGCCGAATGGAATGTGCATGTCTTAACTGCTTGACTCAATACCTGCCCCAAACTCTATTTTAATTAAGGCAAGTGCATTGGTTTTAGATGTAACACTGTCTCTCACAATAGACTACAGTGTGGTGTCAACATAACTTTTTTAAAAAGATTTTTTTTTTATTTATTTGAGAGGTAGAGACAGAGAGAGAGGTCTTCCCTCCGTTGGTTCACTCCCCAAATGGCCGCAACGGCTGGAGCCGAGCCAATCCAAAGTTAGGAGCCAGGAACTTCCTCCGGGTCTCCCATGCAGGTGCAGGGGCCCAAACACTTGGTCTGTTTTCCACTGCTCTCCCAGGCCATAGCAGAGAGCTGGATCAGAAGAGGAATGGCTGTTACATGAGCCGGCGCCCGTGTGGGATACCGGCACTGCAGGAGGAGGCTCAGCCTGCTAAACGTAACTTTTCTGTGCACTGGGAAACGAGGGACCTGTGCGACGCACTTCATTGCTGTATTTGCTTCATTGCAGCCGTCTGGTGCTGAGCCCTGCCCCCACCCCACCCCGACATCTCTGACGGACGCCTGCACAGAAAGCCTTTGGAATCAGCGTCCACCCTTCTCCTTTATTTTGCAAAGGGCAGGCTTCAAAGCGGGCGCTAATGAAATGCCAGGGCTCCCCTCCGAGGTGCAGGGTGTTATGTCTCTGGGCCGGCACAGGTTGTCCACCTGCTCTTCCCAAACACCAGGCGTGGAGTCAGGCCTCCGGCCCCAGGCCCCAGGGCTTGGACTCAGCCACCTTCCGCCCCACTGGAGAGGAAAGAAAAGATAAGGAGCTCCTCTAGAGTCTGGGGGGCCCCTCCAGCTCCCCACCGGCAGGAGGCCACCGCTCCAGAAGTCTACCTTCAAGGAAGGACGCTGGGCTTTCATGTCCGCCCCTGTCCAGCTCGGCACTTTGTAGCCTGCCTGCTTCCTTCATGACCGGTTTCAGTAATCAGACGCTGCCCCCGGCCTGCGGCTGGAGGCTGATGGAGCGCTGTGAGTGCTGGGATAAATATTTGATGAGGGGTGGCCATTATCAGCGAGCTGCCCTGGGGGCGGCCAGCTGCCTCCAAAGGCAAGGAATGGCTTTAATGGCTTCTCGCTGTGTCATTAATTCAGACTTTTCTCTTGAGTGTTGGAGGGAATTAGGGAAGCCGTACTCTAAGCCCCACACCCACTCCTGGAGACAAATCCCTGTCCAAGGTCCTGGGGCCCACTGGGCGTCGTTCCTGGGTGGGGCGGATCAGAATGGGCACAGACGGCGTGACCGGCCACTGGTTCTTCAGTGGTGTTGGGCAGCAGACCACTTCTGGCCACACACACACACACACACACACACACACACCCCACCTGGGTGACCAGTTAGGTGTTCAATAATATTGCCTAACTGGCTCCTGGGCACAGTGCAAAAACCATGACACCACCCCACAGCCCACAGCCTGGGCAAAGACTTGTCAGATACTGTGCTTATCCAGGCCCTGGCCTGGGGCCTGGGGTATGGCTCAGGTCCAGGAGATTTGCCAGGGGCCAGCACTGTGGCACAGTGAGTTAAGGTGCTACCTGCAGCACTAGCATCCCCTGTGGGCACTGATTGGAGTCCAGGCCGCCCCACTTCTCGTCCAGCTCCCTGCTAATGCATCTGGGAAAACAGCAGAAGATGGCCCTAGTGCTTGGGCCCCTCCCACCCACATGGGAGACCCAGAGGAAGCTCCTGGCTCCTGGCTTTGGTCTGGCCCACCCCTGACCATATCATCTATTTGGGGAGTGAACCAGCAGATGGAAGATATCTCTCTCTCTCCCTCTATCTCGCTGTCCCTCCCTCTCTGTTAACTCTACCTTTCAAATAAATAAAATAAATCTTAAAAAAGAAAGAAAAGAAGCTTGACCCTGACTTTGCACAAAATCAATCCAACTTGGAACCTACCCTAAAAGAAAAACCAAAAGCGTGTTCTAAAGCTTAAAGGACAAAACATAAGGGACTGTTTTTGCAACCTTGGGTAGGCAAAAGTGTCTTAGAGAGGACACAGAAAACATTAAGAAAAAAATGATAGATTTGACTTTTTCAAGATTTAAAACTTCTGCTTTTTGAAACATGTGCTTAAGAAAATGAATAGGCAACTCTAGATTAGGAAAAATGTTTGTAACACACACATTTGACAGAAGGCTCACAGCCAGGGCATGCAAAGAATTCCTACAACCCAATCATTAAAAAAAAAACATTTGGAAAACTGAGCAGACTGGAGCCAGCCCTTCACAGGAAAGATTTGTCAGTGAGCGAGGGGATGGGAAGATCCTCAGCATGATGGGTCATCAGGTGAGTGCATTTATGAAGCTACAGCAGAGACAAAACCGACCTGCAGTGCAGAGAGCCGCTCAGAGGGGCCTGAGCCGGGAAGGGGTGCGAAGGGGCACGGGGGAGCTTTTAGGTGCTGGGCCTGTTCCGTGTCTGGAGGGGAGTGTGGGTTCCACGGATGAATGCGTTTGTCTGAACTCATCAGCCTACGGCTGGATCCATGCCTGTAAAGTACACACAGCGGCGACAGAGCTATGCCCCACTGCCCGGTGAGCGCGCCAGCCCCAGCACCCAGGAAGCTGCTCTCGGGCGCAGGAGCCCGGCTCCCAGAAGAGAGGCACGAAGAAGGGGGCCTGAAAGGGCCCGCAGGACAAGGTCACCCTGCAGTGCGTGGAGCAGCTGCCCCTTGGGAGTGAGTCGGCCACGTGACAAGGCCTCAGCCTGGAGCCGGAGGGGTCTGCGTGCAAGCCGGGGCATGCAAAGGACACAGGCGGAGAGACTGGCACCCTGCCGGCCCCAGTGCCGACTTTCTCAGTGCCTCCCCCCTCCCCACCTCCCACCCCAGCCCCAGGCAGCGGGGCAGAATCCTGAGGCCGGGCCTGGGAGCTCCAGGCACAGAGAAGAGGAAGAGCGGAGCCCGAGGGCTGCTTCTTTGAGAAGCCCCAAAGTCCTTTTGCAGAGTGGACACGAGTGTTGTGAGTGTGTGTGTGTGTGTGTGTGTGTGTGTGGCAGGAGGGGGCGGGAGCTTGTCACAAAGCCGTGCCACCCCCATACCCCACGCGGCTGGAAGTCACCACGCAGCGAAGCCCAGGCAGCTGCCGGGGAACCCCTGGCACCACAGAAGACCCCGTCCCACCTGGGGGCGGAGCATACCATACCCCTCTCCCTCCCACGCTCAGGCTTGGGTTGGGAGAGCAAACAGCACCTGCTCTTGAACCCAGGTCTGACTCCGCCCTGAGACCCTCCCACCTCCCCTGGAACAGGGCTGAACAGAGCCAACCGCCCACAGCTGGGAAGAACCCATGCCCTGGTGGCAGGTGTGGACCATGGCTCAGTGACCTGGAGGCATGCCTGAACCTCCGTGACTCGGTTTCCCCGCTTGTAAAATGATGCTAACAAAACTTGTGACACTCGGAGGCCTGGAGCACTCTTCACGTTCAGCAAATACTCTGGCAAATCTGTACTTTGTTAACAGCCTGTGCTGGGAGAAGGCCTGGAATCGGTGCCGATGCTTCCTGCCCTGTGTGAATCCACTGCAAACCACTGAACTGCACACTTGGAAAGGGTGCAGTCCTTAACAGCTGAATTACATCTCAATGAAGACTCATTAGAAAAAAAAAATCAGGTGTGCATTTCACCATTTCACCGGAGGACCCAACACAGTCCCATTCCAAAGGTGTCTTCCCAAGAGGTATAAAGCATAGAGGTGGATGGAACTGGGCCAGCGTGGAGCCAGGCAGAAGTGGCAGGGCTCCTGGGGTAGCAGGCAGCCTGCCCTCCCCTGCTCCCAGGGAAGCGACATGGAGAAGTCGGGCAGCAGTGCCCGGCACCAGGCCTTGGAGCAGAGCCGACTTCCACTTGTAAGAGGATGCCGTGTTTCGGTGACTGAACTGGGGCCCCTACGCGCGTCTTCCCTAGCTCGTTACCTTTGCAGCCTCCTGCTTCTCCCGGGGCAGGAGAAGCCTTGGAGACTGGCTCCTTGCTCTTCAAGCTGTGGCTTGCTGACCAGCCGCACGGGCACCGCCGGGGAGTTCACCAGAGATGCAGAGCCTCCCCAGACCTGCTGTATCGGGATCTGCATTCCGACGGCCACAGCCAGAGTGACGCGTGCCCTCGGGAACGTGTGAGGTAGAACTGCTCCCCAGGAAGGCCTGGCCAGCGGACTGCGCAGGAAGGTAGAAGCATTCCTCACCACTCAGGTGCAGGCATTGTGGTGCTGAGGGTTAAGCCATTGCTTGGGGATGCCTGCATTCCTTACGGGAGTGCCTGGGTTCAAGTCCCGCCTCCACTTCCAATCCAACTTCCTGCTAAGGCATATCCTGGCAAGG